GGGGGGGGTCACATAAATAAATAGAGGGAGACAGCAGCAACACAACAAGCCCTTGGGGACTTTCTCCTCTATTAAGAGAGAAGATCACACACATTTTATTCCCCTGTCACTCCCGAAAAATGTAACTCAAAATTGTTGCGGCAACGATCACTCTGAAATGAAGCAGCTCCGAAGAGGTGCGAGGATGTTCATGATCGCACCAAAAACACTTTATTCCGCTAACGCTGCACAGAGGGCAGGTGGCCTGAAGAGCATGCATCTCGACAGAATAATTCCTTAAATCGTTCTGCATTTTTACTATATTCATATATTTAATCTTGTACTTGTTTAATGTAAAACATTGACTTCCTAAAAGGATAAAATCTTTTTAAAAAGCTCATGTTATTTGATCTAATTTAAAAGATCGTCATTGTTTTTTTTTTAAATTCATCTTCTTCCTTGAGTCTGCAACTTACTCTATTTGTGCCTTCTATCTAGATGATGAACGCAGTTAAAAAAGATAAAGGAAGTTGAAGGAGGAAGATCCGGCAAGCTAAAAAGGAAGCTGCAAGAAGGTGAAGGAGAACGGATCCGCATTGATGAAGAAGGTAGGAGGTTAAAGGAGAACGAATGAAAAAGTTCAAAGAGGAAGATCTAGGTGGACGAAAGTTGACGCAGGAAGTCCAGAAGGAAGATGCAGGAAGTTGGAGGAAAAGGAAGTAGGAAATGCGAGGAGGCAAATGAAGGCTGGTGAAGAATCAGTACACTGCTCGGCAGGTCCTTCAACTGCCTGCCATCTTCCCACTTCAACTTTGCCCACAGTTGGCAGTCGAAGGTGAAAGCAGAAGAAGTTGAAGGGCCTTCCCTTCAACTGTGTTCTTCCTTCACCTTCAATTGCCTTCATCATTGTCATTTAATTGCACATATCATCCTCCTCCTCTTTCAGCGTCCCGCATCTTCCGACTTTAAATTCCCACATCTTCTCCTTTAACTGCATGCTCATTCAACCTCTTGCCTTTTTTCTCCAACAGTTTTCCCTCCCTTCAACCCCCATACCCTGATCAAAATTTTTTTTTCTCTTTTAGTTTATGCCAACGTCTCTCCTTGCCTGCGTCGTCCTCCTCCTGCTGTTCCCACGCAGAGCGAGCAGTAAATAGCAGGTATGCAACGTTTCTCCCTCAGCCACCTTTAAGATTGATGTCCCACTTTTACAGCAGATGTTCAGATTAAGACCGATTTTCTGTTTAAAGCATGGCTAATATTCTAATGAGACGGAAGCCATGAGATATTATCATAAATATACTGCACATTGTTCCAAACATTTAGGCCAGTTGTATAATTAGCTGATGGAATAAATTGTATCACGAAGATAAGAGCACCATAAATAAAGAACCACGTTTAATAAAAAAAGCAAATAAAATGGGAAGATTAGAAATATTTCAATTCCACCCCAAAATGGCATACATGTTGGACAAAGGTGCTCTCTGCATGATGTGATCAGTATTGACAGTCAATTAGTCACCAACACATCTTATTAGCTCCGGAATCTTATCTTAAGTGAGCCTTTGATAAAGTGCTAATGACAAACAACAGTTTAAATGTGTAAGCGAGCCAATGGATTGCTATTTAAAGATGAGTGCGTGTAGATTAGAGGCCGTTTTGTCTCGGTTGTTTTTTAAGCTTTGCACAATACACAGAAAGCACGCTAAAGAGCAGGCTAACATAATGATCGGATTTCCAATGAGACAATGTCGACTTCGGCATCACCTCAAATGAGTCACACATCTATAATTCATGTGAATAAAGTTAGAATTTTCCCGTGGTTTAAAAATGTGCCCTATTTTGAATAGTTGTGTTCTCCAAACACATTCAACGGGTGCCAAATTAGTTGTGCAGCTCTTTAATCATTCTAATTATACAGTCTTTATTGCTCCTCGGGGCAGACTTTCGTGTCTTTGTCTATATGGGAATTATTTTGGTGAAGAACCAAAATATTTACTCAACCACAGCCTAAATATTACGCATATCAGGAGGAATTGAGAAAATAATCCTCTCATAGACCGCAGTATTAACTTAATCACATTAGTGTAAATACTATTGATGGTGGTCATGATCCTGAGTGAGCGTGTGTGTGTGTGTGTGTGTGTGTGTGTGTGTGTGTGTGTGTGTGTGTGTGTGTGTGTGTGTGTGTGTGTGTGCGTGTGTGTGTGTGTGTGTATACGTGTGTGTTTGCATCACAATGTAGCAACGGCGCGGGATGGTGCTGAAAAAGGCCCCGAGGACTGAGCGGTGTCAGTGTTTGTGATGTGTCGCTAAAGAGGATTGATAGTCATTTCCTTCATGAAGGAGCTGAGCTGCCGCGTACAACAAACTTTGAAAGCACATTATCAAAGGAGAATGGCTCCACAGAAGGATGCGCCGCTCGGGAGCTTGATAAGACCTTCTTCTTTAAACCAGCGCTTGTCATCGTATTAAATGTAATCTCACCTTGCTCGAATATCTCCACACTCCCGAGGGGGCCGAAGGAAATAGTAGCAAACGTCCCGGATCAGTTAAAAATAAAAAGATAAATAAATAAACTGCCTGATATTGATGAAAAGTCAGATTTTCGATGTGAGATTATAGCGCTGGGTCTTGCGGGCTGAATGTTGAGCCGGTGCATATCCTTGGTTGAGATCCACCTCCCTGCAGGCTCTGACTTTTCCCATGATAGACTGTTTGGAACCATTTAGCAGATACATTATCACCGGCCTTTTCTTCCTCATTATATTCGCCCTCTTATCGCCACGGCATCACTGCAAAGCCCCAAATAGAGAGTTGTAATTACCACCACTGCCACCTGATAGCGACCCCTCCTATCAGCTTTTATCACTGCCGGTCTTGCTAACTCATCACGGGGACCTGGGGAAGAAAAGACCCGCTTGTGGGATACATCTCTCAGATACACGTATACTTGCATTTGGGGGATCAGAGAAAAGTGATGCACTAAGGCCTTTTCTTCACCCCCACCTACCCACTTCTTCCACTTCGTTTTCTGCAACCCCACAAAGACTCTCCTCTCCCTTTATGTGGAGGCTGAATCGAGGCGGTGGCGCAAACAAAACGTGATCCAGTCTCCTTGAACCCGTGGCAGCGTCGCGTAACGCACCGCGTTGGCTTTTACATTGGCCGTCGTCCTTCAGCGGCAACGCTCGATTTGTTGACACGGCACAGCAAAGGCGCCTGTGTAAAAGTTCTCGGGGATAGCGCTCCCAGCTTATTAGCCACCTATGACCTCCAGATTTCCCTAGTGCCAGTGAATAGGCGATGGAGCACAGTCTGTGTGGGTTTTTGGGTTGAAACAGTGCATCTCTTTTAATTGCTCCGATTTGGGGTCAAGCATGCTTATGTCCCGCAGAAGAAAAGAGTGAAAAGACCAAATCAGACGGCATAATCAAAAGGCTCTGTGTGGTGAAAAAATGAGGACATCATTTAATTTAAGCTTATAGCAAAATTCTATCCTTGACTCGGGGTGACATTCATATAAATAAGCGGGACCAAAACCTCGATACCAAGCTGAATTATGTTTACTTGCTTTAGTGCAATCTTTGTCTTGCTTATATAATTATGCTCATAATTATATGCCAACAGGTTACTTTGGATTCATCGGCTGCAATGATTTCTTTGTGCACAACACCGCTCACAATTTTAATGTGTAAAATTTGGTGTTGTAATAATACAGTGAACATCCGAACACGAGTGACCTAAAAAGTGGTGCAATTTCGGCGTTTTCATAAAAAACGTCTTAAGTTGCACAACACTATGGGAGGCCTCCACAAAAGTGTTGAGTCATCAGCATGTCATATATTTTTACACTTGTATGGCAGTTAAGAATGTTAAAATCGTTACTAAACTCATTACTTAGTTCGCAACACTAATCAGGACAAGCCCAGTCGCTGGACGGAATTTTTTGCGGGGCGCCCCAGAAAAAAAAATTGTATTCAGTGTGAAAGGTTCCACTGGACTTCAAACACAGTACATTGTGGTTGCACAAGGACTGCCGCACAGCGATCGACATGACTGAATACAACTGAACTGTCGCACATAGTGCAAAGTTCGGCAACTATTTTTTATGAGCATCCCACTAGTTAAGCTGCATTTTGAAATTTGATTTGCAGATATGTACATACAGAGTGTGTGTGTGTGTGTGTGTGTGTGTATATATCTATATAGATATAGATATATATAAAATCACATTCAGTGGAACCTGGAGTCACAAACAACGCTTTTTATGAGCATTTCAAATTACAGTTTTTTTTTGGGGGGGGGGCGTGTTGTAGAAAATTTGCCTCTGGTGATATTCATGATGGCTGTAAACGCCCCCAAAACCCATGTAGAATTCCATTTCTCCACTGCAGCAGCAAATAGAAAGCTGTCGGCTTACACACACACACACACACACACACACACACTCACACACACACATACACACACACACACACACACACACACACACACACACACACGCACACACGAACATTCACACTTCTTCCAATCACAATTCTCACTGCGGCCGCCTAGATTTCTGATTAACCTCACACAAATATTTGACTGTATGTATGAAATGTACAGCACTTTGTATTTATTGTATTTGAGTGCCTGTTAAATCGAAAAAAACACCCCTCCCTCCCAAAAAAGACAGAAAAACCTCGATCTTCTCCCCGCTGTGTGCGACTTGAAGTTGCAAATAACAGAAGATGCTGCAGATGGTTCGTTGTTGCTGCTGAATGCCGCAACAGTTTGAGGAGAAATATGCAAAGGACGAAACATGGCCTTGCCACAAGCATCACAACGTGTGGAAATATTATGCTGCTTTTAATGTTGATGCTTGTGGGAGTGTATGCATAGCGCGTGCGTGTTTCTGAATGACTTGTGTGATCGATGAAAGGGCAAGTGTGCTGTCAGCAGAAGCCTGCTTGGGCTAAGAGAGAGGAGGTGGCTGGGTGATGGCTGGCTGTGATTATTTCATTATTTTGACGAACGCAGCATCAGCATGGCGAGTGTCATGCTAACTTCTCCAGTGTCGCTCGCCCCAACCGGCCCATTAGTCATTCGAGTGAGTGAAGGCGACGGAAGGTGGAGGGCTGGCAGGGTGTATTGATCAAATGTTGACAGAGTTATTCCCACCTCGCTGTCATCAGCAACATCGCATATCCCGTGCCCATACGACAGCCCTGATGCTCCCGCCGACGACTTCCACTTATCTGCAAAGCAGGCGCTCTGTGCGTTAAGATGTTTGTCTAATGATTTGAAGTAATCTGTTTATTCCCTCACTTCTCCTCCTCCCCCTCGTTTATCTAAGGAGAGCAAAGCGGGGAACATGCCCGCTCAAAATCACACTTCAAAGCACTAATCAGTGGCGTGAAGATGAATAAATTTGCTCATGTGAAAATGCTCCTCCACTTTGCACTTTTCGTTGTTCTTTGGTGAAAGTCAATATCCAAGCAAAGGTATACACTCGAAGTAGATAGCCACACAAAGGCCAGGACCCTGGAAGTGTCACATCAGGCTCCCAGGGGACGCAGGTTAAAGACGCTGCCTAAACAGCCCCTCCCATGCCCGATGCCCAGCCAGCCTTGAGGGGGCTGAATGCATCCCATAGGAATGTATCTTCTCTGCTCAAATTAAGTCCTGCCAAGTGGCAAGTGAAATCAATACGCTTCATCCATAAATTGTCCTGAGTGATAATTACTAAGAGGAACTGTAATTACAAAAGACATTAATTCACCTGCTTAGATTTTGTGCCAGCGGAGTCCAGACCCAGACTAACAATTCACAAAAGCGTCTGGTGTTTTGTTTTGCGGGGGGTTTCCCTGCAGCAGTTTATTCTTTAAAAAGGAAGTCAACTCAAAAAAATACTTTTCAATATGGTCTAGGGCGTGCAGAGGTCCAGATTTCGATTCCAGGCTGTGGACTTCCTATATGGAGTTTGATCGTTCTCTCTGTACCCGCGTAGGTTTTCTCCGCGTACACCGATTTCCTCCCACATTCTAACAGCGTCGACTCTTGGGCTGGCATGCAAATGACAGCATTCTCCTTCATTTTTGCATGTTTGAAATAAGTTCTGATGTAAAAGGAGAAACTTTCCTGTATTTTTTCAAACTCTGTCATCATGTAAGCG